CTCGGGCAGCTCCCGCCTGACCCCCATCTCCTCCGCCTTACAGGCAGAGCAGGAACAGCACGAGTCTGCTGTTAGCGTGGATCCTCAGACAGAGGCACTGGCACAGTGACTAAATCAACCGAGAATGTCAGGAAAAACCAGGGCAGAGACCCAGATATCTTACTGCCTGCTGAAAAGTGAATGCACCTTCAGTTTCTAGAGCTACAAGCTGAAATAGGTTGATGGATGCAATTGTGTCAGAAGTATTCAGTCACTCCTCCTCGCCTTGGGTATCAGAGCTGACACCACCAAGGTAGATCTCTAAGGTTGTAGTATCTGTTCCCATCACGGTGAAGAGGAGCAGGAAAGGGAGCAGTCACTGCCTGTGGGAGCTCCCCTCGCACCACCGGTGCTGGGCATGACAAATCCCCCACCGCTCACCTCGACTCCCAGGGACCGCTCACTTAGAGCTGCGCTTTAGGAAAAATGAACTACCAAGGCAAGAATGTGAACCACGGTCTGAGCAAGCCTGCCAAGTGCCTGTTGACAGCCCTCGGTGCACTGGCAGGAGCAGAGAGCCACAGCTTAGTCATCACAAAATACACAGGGCTGTTCTGCTGACGGTCCTTTCCCTGCACTGATCCCGAGATAAACCAAATGAAGAAGGGTGCAGATTCAAGGTGGGGCTGTGAGTAGCTGATCTGAAGGAACACAGGAGCAGGACAGGGTTGCAGACACAAGCCATCCACCTTTGGAATGGCAAGAAACAGAGAAGAGCACAAGGCGATAGATACTGGAAGGAAGGACCAGCAGATGCCCAGTTCTTTTTTTTGCTCCCTTTAAAGTATTCACCACAACATGCCAGAGGTCTCAGGCCACTGTGCCTGATGGGTCTGGGGATTCTGATGCTTCCAGCAGTCTCTTACAATGCCTCCATGTGACTAGTCCCAGGCGAACAGCAAAGATCAAGCAAGTCATTGCCAGCAGAACAACTAGAAAAGAAACACAGAAGCGTGTTAGCACCAGAGAAAGTCAGTGCCTCTTGTCATACCCCAGCTCCCAGTACAGGGGGCATTCAGGGAAAAAGGAACAAAGACCCCCCCTGTATCGGAGCCATCACCGCCCCCCCATCAGATTTGTATTTCACACAGTTCAGAGTTTCACTGCTATCCAAACTCACCCAATGCTTCCAGGTCGAGGAATGTCTAAAAGGAGGAGGCTTTATAGACACAGGAAGAGTGCATTACATTAACAAAACTGTCCAAGAATAGTTGAACTATATAAAGAAACATGCACTGGTTTGGGAAAAGCACATTCTTGCCCTACCAGCCAAGCAAGCTGAACCACTAAGGAAGTTTTGCTGGTAGAAATGCACCTACTGCAGGAACGAAGCTGTCTGCCAGAGATATCTTCACATTCCTGGCGGCCATAACCATCAGCAGATGAGTCTATAGTGCCCTCATGCTTTTGGCAGACAAGCTCTGCTAAATCCCGTTGGGTGCTTTTGGGCATTACCAGGCTCCAGCTGCCCTTACAGCAAAAGGGAACACATACTGGCATGCCTGCGAGGGTGGTCCCTGTCCAGAAATTAACTTCAGCCACTGGTACGTGGCAGCAGGAAGGCTGAAGGGTGGCAACGTGCTCCCTTTCTGCTGGCCCGACAGTGGGAATGCGTGTCTTAAACTGCGACAGCAGGATTCAGACTTCACACAGCTCAGTCCTCCTCACGCCAGCAGAAAATACTCATAAAGGTATAGCTCTCGCCAGGCTGTGGTTGTACCATATGTGGACAGCGTAAGCCCTTTTACAATGCATGACTACACTCAGCTCAGCTACAGTGGCCTGCAGCAACCAAATAATCCTGGGAAAACTTGCTAAGGCTAGCCTGAGCTCTGCGTAGGAGGGGAGCATGCACAGGGTTTTGCATTGTGGAGTTTAGATACAGTCCCTCCTTGGGTCAGACACTTATGCACTGCTCCCGTACCCCAAATGATGCCAGGCAAACGGAAGTCCACAGCCTTCATCCCAGCCATGCTCTTCCTTTGGCCCACCCTGCATCAGATGGAGCTATCTGCAGAGGACCCAAGTGGATGATGGAGGATTGTAGGG